GTTGGCTTGTGCGCTCCACTATATTATGCTCTTATACAGGCTTTTATAAATATCATGTTTCCGTTCTTGGGCTAGTATTGAAAAAAAAATCTTACTGAACTTTCTTTTTGATTAAAATTATTTCCTATAATATATTTTCTTTCAGATTTCTTAATTAAAGTCGCAGTTTATTTGCATACTTAATAAAATGGCGAAAAGGTCAAATATGATCAAGTGACTCTTCTGATATCTGCTTGTATGAAGAGAGTTGTGTTTCGTACGGTGAGTGTAGATAACCGGAGACCCTTTTTACTGGAAACGAGACACTCCATCTTAGTCCTCGGGGGTGAGAACGCATCTGTATTTTAATTCTTGATCGAGGATAAATGTTGATGTCTATGGGCCACAGCTTCCAATTAGCATCAGGTGGACTGTGTGCTCGTTTGTTACCCTTAATAAATTTACACCCTGTTAAAAAAACACCCTGTTCTCTACCAAAATTTCCTGATTCCGTTAAAGGAAGGCTAGACCTACGATGATATACAGGATTATTCAAAGTCGCTAGGCCACTAAGGTTGAATGTTGTACTCTAACATGAAGAAGGCTATAATCTAACATGAAGAAATGTTTTTGGGCATATCCTAGGTGATAGGTCTGGTCAAAGCCTAAATTATTTATTAAGCTAAGACTTTATAAAATGGATTATTATAATGTAAATGAATTAGTGGTTCACATAATGAATCCTTATATTTACACGGATACTCGACATTAAATAAAAACTTTTTTCTTCCGATCTACGCAGAACGAGCTTACAGTATCATAAAATATTACATATAGTATTCTTGCGTTTGAATTTAATTTAATTAATTATAGGATCTCAATTGCGTTTGAATTTAATTTGATTAATTATAGGATCCCAAACGGATGGTAGCACTCATACATCTTCTCTACTGAAATTAGGATGTTTTTCAATTTCAATATCCTCGCAAAATCGGTGGTCTTTTGTGAGGATTTGTGGTATATCAAATCTCATGTAATGACAGTGACGAATAATTTTGTAAAATTAGCTTTATTAAATGATAACGTGGTTGAAAATAACTCCTGGGAATTTTCTTAGATGATTGCTTCAAAGATGTAACTATGAGTTGTAAATAATTGTACAATCTATTTTTGATATATAATGTTACAGTGGATGAAATTCTCGCGGAGTTTCTAGCTGGTTCTTTTCAGGATTTTCATTTTTTTTAGAATCTAATTTGAATAAAAATTACTTCATTCTATTCTATTCTAGTCTGTCTGGGTAAGTCCTCTTACCTGTTTATACCGCTAACTCTTAGAGTAATTATACATAAAGTGATAGTGACATTCAAAATTCCGTTCCAAGTTGAAGCAACAACACAATGAATGTGTGCATAAGCGGCCTGTAATTACGTTTGCCCACACGCAAATAAGTAATGTTTGCAAGTGAATTACATTTTCCCCAAAAAGTGGGGAAAATGTAATAGTAGATATCGTCACAGAATTAATATTTAGGTTGCGTTTATAATTATTTATTAACAATTTGCAAAGAGAAAAATGTAACATTATTTATTTTTATTAACTTATGTAATATTTAAATTATTTATATACCTACGTAATATCTTGTGTTATATTCATAAATCTATTATGTAATTATATTACTCTGTTAGAAGTGGTATATTTATATAAATATCTGTTATTAATCTTCTTAATTTTTATATAATACTCAATGTGAAGAAATAAAAATAAATAGAAGTGGAAGAAACGGAGGAGGCAAATGCCTACGTATATTTCTTCCAGTTTTTCCAATCCAGCCCCACTTACACTTAACAAGTGAATAGTTGTCAGATAATCATTTTAGCTGTCAGATATTTTTTTATTATTTATTCCTAACTAACTGTGGCTGTGGCCCGCGGCTTCACCAGCATATTAAAGCATACACTGATCTCGATTCTTGCCATTCTAAGAATCTACATGATATATTTAATTTAAATCAGTTTCAACGTAAAGGTTACAACATACAACCATAGAATGGATATAATATTAGAAGGAATCACGAGACTTAAGAGTGCGGTCAGTTTCAAGTGATTATTATAATTACTTTATTGGATATTATGTTTTGAATTAAAACAAAACAAGATTTGGGAGGATATAAACTATTCAAATAAAACATGAAATTAAAAATGTTTATTAAATAATATAAAATAAAATATACCCAAGTACTTAAAAAAATATCTCTCAGTGACCCTGAAACTGCAACTGTTTTCTAAACAACTGCCGCTTTGATGATGCTATCCTCGAAATGTTATCTTTTTTTACATTCATAAAAGAGTCGAACTAAAAATGTTAAATATATGTAAATTAGAATAAAAAAATCAATCATAGGCTATGTTATTTATCCTAAAACACATACCTTAAAAAGGTAAAAACAACTGCACATTATCAAAATAAAATAAAATCAACACATTTTATGTAGCAAATGGAAACCCTAATAATATTTGGCAAATAAAAATACCTATTTATATGTAAATGAGACTATTGGCAGTATGTATGTATTTTTTTCAATATGCATTTTTTTATAATTATAATAATAAGAAAAAATGGGGTCAAATATTTTACTATGACTAGCAACATTTTAATTATATTGGCGTCTGTCAAATTTATTATTTATTATTTTGTTGTGATGTATGTTTTTCACAAAAATATAAGATGCTAGGCAGTACTTAACCGTGAAATGAGATTTTTACATTTTTTTCGTGATTATGTGATGAGTTGTGACACACTTTCACAGTACAGTACGTTATTTTTTTAAAAAATTGTGCGAGCTGTTTACACGACTACATGGACTCGAGTACTAACGTGCCAAAACTCGTAGTTAGCCTTTAACGGCTTCACTTTGCGTGCGCCTACTGCGGTTTTAAGCCTAAACTTCTATGCGCTAACTCTAAAACTGCTTGCATTGATGAATTCCGTAGCTTGACATCTTAGTCTTAAGAAGCGACAAGTGATCGATAACTTTGTTTGAGGTTGGCTGCCACTTGATTCATAAAGTCCGTAGGCTGCAATACCCAATTATCATCAGGTCGACTCTGATTTCGTTTGGCACTTAAGTTACAAAAAATATATTGATATACTCAAGAACATTATATGTTTACTGGTCATACTTAATAAATTTATTACACTTTTATAAATATCATTAATTAATAAACTGATATCGTGATTGTTATCATCCATGTAATCATTCATCATTATATGCCATCATTACATCATTACATGTCATCATTATTAACTGATTACATAATTCATACTAGCTGGCTGGGCAGACGTTGCTCTGCCTTTTCTGGTAGGTGACGCGATAATTAATAATTATGGTTGTAGAACCAATGGGTCGGTCTGACTGGGGTAGGACCACCCTCTCACAGAATACCATCCTAAAATGGAAAGGATTTTAATGCAGCCTTCATCAATTTCTGTCATCCTGTAACTAATCTTTTAAGTTGAAAGTCTTTCGAAACTTCCATGCGAATACCGTATATAGTTTTACAAGAAGTGAATTTAAGATTTTAAAGTCGCTAAAGTTGTTTTAGTGTAGTGTAACGCTACATCTGTATTTATATATTAATCTCTATATATAATGTCTGTTTAGTGACTGTTAAGAATATCCACTACCCCATATCTTCTCGTGGGTGTCGTAAGAGGTGATAGTCAAAAACAAGCAATAAAAACAATTGAGGTTGTCGACCCGCGCGCCAAGCGTGGCAACTATTTCAATATGCCTCCATGAGCAACGACACAAATAAACAGCCCCCAGTCCCTGGCGGCCCCACTATTTCTGATTACGGTGGCAACCATGGTAACGACAGGGGTTGCTAAGGATCCCCGGTGGCAGTTCGGTTGCCATCTAAGATGTCTCAACCTAGAGCAAAGATCCTGGAGCTGGAAGAAGAAAAAGACAAGTTGCGTTGGAATATTATAGGATTATCTGAGGTCCGAAGAGATTGCAGGAGAAGGCAGAGGGGGGTGGCCATCTGTCCCAGGGAGGTCTCAGATTTATTGTCCATTGCGTATCTTAAACTCAGAATCAACAAACGGTTTTCGTTAAAGTTTATACAGATTCACGCACTAACCTCGGTACATACCAATGAGGAGGTGGAGAAAATGTATGAGGATGTCTCTATAGCCATACATTCCTCCAAAACCCACTATATGTTGTAAGTGTAGTGAGAGAACTATGAGCTGAAAGTAGGAAAATTCCGAATAGGGCAACGGAACCCAAGAAACCAACAGCTGGCTGACTTCATGGAGAATGAGGGGCTCTTTAAAATTAACTCTTACTTCCAGAAGCAACCACTCAGGAAGTTGACCTGGTCGAGCCCCGACGGTTCGATAAAAAATGAGATTGACTCCATTATCATGACTAGACGGCAATTGTTCAGTGATGTATCAGTGAAAACCGGCATCTATCACCGAATGGTTAGAGGCACATCAACCTAAACATTAAGTTGGAGTGGTCTCTTCTAATGAAGTCAATGCACCATCGGGCTCTAATCCAAAGTCCCTTCTTCAGCAAATTTGATAGGATATAGTCAACTGAAGAGACAGATCTCCAAATGCATGCGGCGGGACTTACACAGCTTAAATACTGCTCGTATTAAAGAAGCGATCGAGCGCAACCAGGGCTCTAAAGTATTTGCCAGAGATCAGTCTCCCAGAAAGAGCCAACTGTTGAAGCTGAAGACCGAATGTGGCAGCATCGTTTCCGGGACACCTGAAATTTTGAGTGAGATTGAGAGGTTCTGTGGGTAGCTGTACACGTAATCGTTGGAGCCACACGTACGAACACACGGTATATCGAAGTGCTGAAGTGTTTATACAGTAGAGCTACAATAGTTTTCCTAGTAGAGAATCAGAGTACAAAACCCATCCAACTGCAGAACGGTGTAAGATAGGGTGATGTTATATCTCCGAAACTCTTCACCGCTGCATCGAAAGACATTTTCAAGCTATTGAATTACAAAAGATACGGCATTAATATCAATGGCCAGTACATTACTCATTTTCAATTTGCCGACGATATAGTGCTTATTGCAGATTCGCAGGAGGACCTAAGCATTATGCTCAATGACCTTAATAGTGACTCCCAACAGATAGGTTTTAAGATGAACGTGGAAAAAACATAGATCACGAGTAAAGTCCATGTGGCACCTATGCCGGTAGTGGGAGCACTAAGCAAGTGAAATTACTTTCAATTAACTTTTTTTTATAATAATAATCGAAATAAATAATTTTATAAACTACGTCAGGAGTATAAACTGAAATCTCCTATTTCTATCAGTGCACTTTTTTCATTATATATGTACAATATAAATCTGATAGAATTGATTTAATTTAATTGGATCGCGATTTTTTATCCAGTGGCAATTAGAGCATTACATATCCGCTTCGTGTCCGATGTGTGCAATATTTAAAGTCCGTCAAAAATGAGAGGAGGCTTGTGTCCAGGTTACGTCGTCTACATTTATAGTTTGTTATTTTATTTCCTTATATTAAAATGACCGTTTCTTTGTTTGCCCGTACACGATCCTACACCATCCGAAGTCCTTCATGGGGCAATGTATACGCTTTTACATCAAAGTCTTAGAAAATATGCGAGACCTATCTGTCAAAAAGTTACAAAAATTTAGTAAGCAAATATTATTTAATATGGGTTATTATATTAGTAAAGAGTGCATCTTATAAAATCACCCCTGGGAATGTTTGCATGTGGGAATGTTTAAACAAAAGTCGCAAATTTATATTATATTATTTAGTTTACTCTTTTCGCATAACAGAGCCACACATTTTTTTTTCTTAATCACATTAAACAAGATCAGTGTTAGATTTTCAGAAACAACGTTCGTGGATTACAAAACAAAGGACTAGTCTTTTCGCCCGTTTGCAGTCGACTAAAGAAGTTACGGAAAATTAACCATAACTTAGAGCGCAATGTTTTAGTACCGTACTACTGTCTAGTAGTATACATACAAGTCTTTGAATAAAACTACTTGACGAAGAGTGACGAGCTCAGTGGTGTACCTAATATAATAAACTTTGTAAGCGACTTATATGATGGATTGCAGTTGAAACTAAAAAGTATCGGGAAGTAAGGTCAACTTTCTCTGCGGCTCGAAATGTGATAAATTATTTAAAATGTTAGCTAATTAACAACGTAGCATCAATGTTTGAGTTTTTTAGAAATATTCTACCTTTGAAGTAATACTTCCATGTTTTTCCTTGCATTCACTGTGACGTACTGTATTTTAAAACGGTACGTTTCAGTTTCTTTTAATTAAAATCGACTCCGGTTAAATGCAGAAATATTCATTTCACGATGCTCACATATGTGTAAAATATTTGCTTTCAGCATCTACACTGAGGTGCCTTAATATAATAGTCAAGAGAGTTAGCAGAACCCCCGGGGAAACTACTTGCATTTTTCAAGCACGCCTTACTTATAACATTTTAAATATATACAATTGTGTAACGTTTTTCATAAAGCAGTTATTGTAGCCATTATTGAGAAGTTCTTTTCAAAAGGTTATTATGAATTTTAAATTAAACTTACATCTTTTGACGTGTGGTGGTGGCGTCCACCACTAACAAAATCCACTACTACGTATAATAACAATAATGTCCTCCAGACCGAATTTCGATCACGATTGCCAGTCTGAACAAAGACCAGCCCTCTGCACAGGACAGGATTATAGTGCACAAGTATATGCTTAAACAAAACCGCACTCTCTATTCCCTCACTCCCATAGTCCAGTGGGAATAGCAATCCCAAAAGACCGGAGCGATCAGGCGCAGGACCAACAGCTTTACGCGCTTTCTGAGGCACGGGGTTATAATACTGCCAACTTCATGACTCCGGGCTGCTACTGACAATTTCTTGTCAGAAAAGTCCCAATAACTGATTTGGACCCGACCCGGGATTCGAACTCGAGCCCTCAAGATCATAAGTCTCGTTTACGACCGCTAAATCAAAGATACAGTCTTTACTATATACACATTACTACATATAAGCCTGTGGGTATCGTAAGAGGTAACAAAATAAGGATTTGATAAAAAATGTTTGTACCGTATTAACAAAATTCTAGATCACTTAATGTCGAAAGACGCATTATGTTATCAGTCTGGGAGAATATGGTGGCCCGCAGGTGTACGGACGCTGTGAAGATAACGTTGTTTAACCTCATTATAATGGATTACCGCAAAGTAACGCCTGTTTGTTTACTGAGCCATTTAGTTAATAAAATTATTTAAAAGAGCTTAATGTGATTTACCAAATTTCAGTCTCTAACGGCTATTCAAAGAATATCAATTGAAAATGTAATTAAAAAAAAAACAAAATAATGTCGTACGCAATTTACCGCTGTTACGCAATTTACGCCGACTTACCGCCTGTTGACCGTGCCAATTGCTGTTTAGTAGTCTTGCTACTATATTTTGTAGATTAAGGTGTAGCTTATCTTTTTCTTATAGCATTAGGGTGACAAACGAGCACGCAGTCCACCTGATATTAAGTGGTTGCCTATAGACATCTACATCTATCCTCGATTACGAATCAAAATGCAGATGCGTTGTCACCCGTGAGGACTAAGATGGAATGCCTCGTTTCCAGTAAAAAGAGTCTCCGGTTCTATACACTCACCATACGAAACACAGCAGTGTCAAAATGCTATTTTACGCTGGTATTCTCTGAGAGCGTGGTCCTTTCCTGGTCGAGCCGAACCATTCGTGCTACAACTATACCAGTAATATAGCTGCAGCATGGCTCTACCACGTACAATTTTTTTATTTTTTTTATTTATTTATCTTTTATTGCAACACACCAACTAGGGGTTACAAAGGGCGGACTCAATGCCCTATGGCATTCTTTCCCAGTCAACCCGACGAAAAATGGAATAAATAAAGATGTTGGCAGGTGCAAAGACAGTAATAAAACATAAGTTATAAATAAAAACAGTTCAGCTATAATAAATAGATTACACAATATAAAACTACCTAATTGCATTATATAAATACTGTATAAATAAAAACACACACACACACACACACACACACACACACACACACACACACACACACACACACACACGCACGCACGCACGCACGCACGCACGCACGCACGCACACACGCACGCACGCACGCTCGCACGCACGCACGCACGCACGCACGCACGCACGCACTCACGCACGCACGCACGCACGCACGCACGCACGCACGCACGCACGCACGCACGCACGCACGCACGCACGCACGCACGCACGCACGCACACACACACACACACACACACACACACACACACACACACACACACACACACACAACGTTGTCGCACCAATCTTTTAAACAAAAGCTTATTCGTAACTTTCTTGACATCAGCGGGTAAAGCGTTCCAGAGGAGAATAGCCTGAACTGTGAAGGAAGAATTAAAAAAATTGTTGTATGTTCTGGAATAATAACTTTAAGTACGTTAGAAGGACGAGGTTCACGGCCGGATATAGAGTAGAGAAAGTTGAAGTTTTCTTTAAGATATGGCGGAGAATTTGCATCATTTAAGATGGAAAAAAGTGTCAATAAAATTCTGGAGCAACGTCTTTGACGTATAGTGAGCCATTTAAGCTTAGAACGATAGGCAGAGATATGGTCGTATTTACGTAAATTAAAAACAAATCTTATACAACTATTGAGAAGGCGCTCCAACTTATTGAGAAGATATTGCGACAGATCCGGATAGCACACATCAATTATCTGTCAAATTTTATTGTTGGCGGCTTGTGGTACACGGTAAACTTTTAATTAAGCTTATGTTGTACTATAATATATCCTCTGTACTATCTACAATTTATTAAATAAAATTAAAAAATCTCTGTACGTGGTTAAACCTCAAAATGCTCGTCGATATGTGGGGAGTTTGACTAACTTAGGTTCCATATCAGAAAAAATAGCTAAGCTAGCTTCTTTTGGGAATATCTGTAATAATAAAGATCTGTAAAGACATATATTTCTAACTCGCCTCCCTTAAACATGTTTAAGCCTGTTCTTTAATAACATACAGGCTCGCAATGTGGTCGTTTGTCACCCTCGCGGTGTGGTGGCCAGCGATTGGTTGCGTGGTTGCAGGGTAGGCGGATAGTTTTGCAGCTGTCTGTTGTTAATTTGAGTTTAACCCTAGATCACTAACCTTATTTTACAACGCTTATTACTAATCTTCGTCGTTTCGGCTACGCCGTATTGAAGGGAGGCTTCTAAGGGTTTATGGAATTATTTTTTACCCGCGACTTCGCCCGCGTGGAGTTATTTTTCGCGGAACCCTAAATTAAAAGCAGCCCAAGTTACTCCTTATAACATCAGCTATCTGCCAGTGTGTATAAATATTGACAAATATTGACATTAATATTTATACGATACTAACGTCACTCAATTGTTTTGCCTTCCTGGAACACCCCCCCCCCCCACTATCACTTAAACTTTATGGTATGGTATTGGAGTTCAAATTGACTTTTAAGTATTATTACGAATCTTTAATATGGGAATATAGAAAAGTGTTGTTTTTAGACTTTTTCAGGCAATTTTTAAATTTTTCTCTCCGTAAGAACCATCTTCGTACTTCAAGGAATATAATAAAAAAAAATTAGCGAAATAGGTTCAGCTGCTCTCGAGATTTGCGCTTAGCAACACATTCAGCGATTCATTTTTATATTATAGATAATCATTAATTGTCAACATGTTTATACGCTTTTATTTACTAAAGTTTGTGTTCGCCACACAAGGATTTGTTGCACTTGGTGCAACAACTCTTTGTCATTCTTTGCTGTGCGGAGGGGCAAAATGCACAAATTTTTCTTTTTTTCTCAACAGGAGGACTAACTGCATCTTTTGTTGGATAAGTCTCATGTGTAGTGATAAAGGTTTTTTATTAGCCTCCAAAGTGTTGGTCACATATATAACATAACTATTTATAAATGCAATGTTTAGCATTCCGTAAAAATTACATACCTAAAGGCCAACGTCGTGTTTTTCGGCTGCAAGAAGCGAGAGAACACATATGGTTCAAGGTGTCTACTTCGCCCTTAGTTTGACTTTTTGGGCTTTTTGGTCAACTCATCAATTGTTCCTTCCTCATCACAAGTCGA